AGAGAGAGAGAGAGAGAGAGAGAGAGAGAGAGAGAGAGAGAGAGAGAGAGAGAGAGAGAGAGAGAGAGACAAAGACAGAGATTAAATATTTACCGCCTCCTTTCTGGATGAGTGCTTGTCTTGGCATCCCTTCACATCTTCCTGCTCACTGTCCAACCGTTCCACGGCTGTCCCATGGTCTTCTGTGTTTGTTCAAACTCTTCTGTGTTTGCTCACACTGTTCCTTTCTCCTTTCGCTACTTTCGTGTCATCGTGTTTCTCGCACTTTCTCCTTCTGCGCCATTGTTTGTCATTGTGTTTCTCCTTCCGTGCCAGTGTTTGTTATCTCCTTTGTGCCCGTGATGACCACTATTCTCCTGAAGCCCGTTCATCATCATGATGATCATTGTAGTGAGTGTGTGGATCATCATGGTAAGTGTGTCTGTTGAGTGTTTTTCTGTGTGCTTTTTGTTTAGTGTTTTGCTGGCTGGCTCCTGCTTTGCTGCTATGATGGCTGGGGGCGCAACTTTAACCGATCTCCTGCAATTTGCCAGTCTCCTGCTATTAGCCAGGCTCCTGCTATACTGTCTGGGGGCCCAACTTTAACTGATCTCCTGAAAGGGTTCTCTTTTCTCCTTTTTGTTAAGGATTTTGCAGTGAATTTGCTGTTCTTGCTTCCGTCGATGGGTTTGTGACGTCTTACTGGTAGGAAAGGTAGCAGCAGGTGGAAGATTCATGTAGACTTTGTTGATTAGTGGTACTGGACTGATTATGCATGCCTCCCGAACCACCTCTCAAACCACCTCCCTAACCACTCTCCAAAACCACTCTCCAAAACCACCAGTTTATGCAGTGGGTGTGCACAGCACGAGCCTCAGGCTGAAGATAAGCATAAACAAGCATTTATGGAAGATCAAGTTTTGGCATTGAAGCGTGGAGTCATAGCAAGTAATTGAAATCATGTAATCATGTATGACAGTGTTTGTGTGTTGTCAGCTAGAATGCTCTGCACTCTCCTCCTCTTTTTTTTTTTTTTGTGTGTGTGTGTGTGTCATGATGTCATCCTTTCACAGGGGCCATGCTTATCTTCTCTGTTCCGTTCCAAGTGGCAAGTTTAACGGATGCCCCAAAATACACTCCCTCTCCTCCTTTAGATCCTGGTTTGCATTGTTTTCCAACTATAATTATTTCCCTTTATGTTATTGCAGTGGACTTAGCGATGCGCCTTTGAGCATGTGACTGGCACCGAGACCTTTCTGACTCGACATATTATGCATGCCAGCCAAAGGCGGGGGGTTTCGATTTTTGACTGTTCAGTATGAGGGTGGCGATAACTTTTGCATGAACAAACAGTCTAGGTGCATTGGGTTCCTGAGTTTCCCATACTGAAGCTTGCAGGCAATGAGCGAATGAGATGGTGTGTGCGAAGCCTACTGTGGGCAGAGGCCGTGATACCTTCGGCGGGGTGCACATCAGGCAGAGATCTGCTTGAAGCAAAGGGAGTCGAGGGCTCTCTTGCGTCACGTTGCCGTGCCAGGTTGGCCCGTACGACTACTTTCAGTCATTTGAAGATTGAAACGCAACTTCAAACCATCGTGTCTGTAGAGTTATGTCACCGCGTAGTAGTTGGAACGGACGCGCGAAGGGAAAGAAAAAGAAGTCAACTGCACATCACCAAGCTAAGGCAGCAGGAGGGGAGGGGAGTGACAATGCTAACACGGGGCCATCTCCTGTAAATGAAGAGAGCAAGGTGGAGCTGAACCATAAATTTGAGAGGACTCGTTCCGACATTTTGGGGAATGAGCATTGTTCGGTATATTTACCCCTCGATTTTGACGTGCATCCACAGAAACCGTGGATTCTGTTTGCGGCGGACCACAAGTCGTTCCAAGTGTGGAACTACGAAGATGGGACGCGGGTTGGCTCCTGGCAGGTGCCTGAATTTGAGGGGCATTATCGTAAGGAGGCGAGATTCGTTGCACAGAAAGAATGGATTGTGGTGTTGGGGAAGTTTGACTTTATCGTGTACGAAACGAAACGCTGGAACCTGGTGCGTGTTAAGGTCTTGGAAGGACCGAATACGTGGGGATGCAGGCAATCTGGGCGGAGACTGGCAGTTCATCGCAGTGCGACGTGCATATTGACTTCGTTCAGCGATGGAAGTATGGCATTGTGGGACTGGGACCGGGAATGGAAGAAGATTACGTTCCAAGAGCGAGGATCTGACCACGTGGCCTTTCATCCAACAAACGCGAATATCTTTGCGAGCGCATCTGGTCAGAAAATTAAGCTTTGGGATGTGAAGAAACAGTCTGTTCTGAAGACCCTTCACGACGAGTACATGGGGTTGACTTGCAGCATGGAATTTTGCAGCAGAGTCAAGAAGCCGCTTTTGATCTCAGCACACCATTATTCCGATACGCGCGTTTGGGACTACAATACCGGAGACTGCATTGCGAAATTGGAGGGATCCGGAACGCGTTCGGCCTTTTTCCATCCGCAATTGCCTCTCATCTTCACGGTAGGGTTCGATCGCATCAGAATTTGGACCGAGTCGAGCCATCAGCCAGTCTTATCGACTCCATGGTTCGGTATTGTGAATGTGGCTGCTTGCAAGAATTCCAACCTGCTTGTTGTTGGTGGCATAGGAGAGTTTTCGGTGGTTGATGTGGTCGCAACCGGTGAATTCAAGGAAGGAGAAGAGAAGCAGCGGAGTGGGGATCCCGTCTCTGCAACGGCAAGGGAGACGAAACCAGCGGCAGAAGTCTTGGATATGATGCTGGAGGAGGCACTAGGTCCTGTGGAGCAAACGGCTGGGACGACAGCAGCGAGGGTCCTTGAGGGTGCGTCATCGGCGTTGAAAACGGCGATCGAAGCATTGGAAGGCGAGGCAGAAAATGCAAACAAGGAGTTCGGAAAGAGAATCGAGAGTGTCGCACTGACATGCCGCGAAGCATTTGATAAGTTGAGAGAAGACTACAAGGAAAAGGAGATAGCACAAGCAAAAAGACTCCAAAGGTTCAAGGCTGAGGTAAGCTCGTTCAACGGAGGGATGGAGGTGGCAAAGAGGCTAGTTGAGTCCAACCAGAGGATTTGGCAGCTGGAGGCTGAGAAGTTTGAGATGGAAGAGAAGCTCCAGTCGACGATTAAAGACCTCGAGAAGAGAGTCAACAAGGAGATTGCTGCAGAAGAAGAAGCCAGACTGAGAGAGTATTCCTTCAAGGAAATACTGGATGCAACCGACATGTTTAACGCGAAACGGAAGCGTGGCAACAAGGATCACGAGGGATGCACTTACCGCGGCAAGCTGCGTAACGATACTTCCGTTCTCGCAAAGGTGATGCGGGGCGGAAATCTGCGGCCGATCGACCACGCCAAGTTCAAGACAGAGCTGGTGGACAGGTTGCGGATGCTAAGGCACCCACATCTGCTAACTTTGCTGGGATTCTGTGCGGAAGAGAACTGTCTGGTTTTTGAGGACGTTGCAAATGGAAGTCTGCAGGAGTGGATCGCTTGCGGAGAGGGTCACACGAGAGGATCCCTGTCGTGGGATGTTCGCTTCCGCGTGATGGCAGAGGTTGCTCAAGCCATGTCCTTCCTTCACTCCAATCCCGCGGCTACTGTTGGCCCCATTATCCACCGCGCAATCAAGCCTGCAAACATCCTTCTGGACGAGGACTTCGCCGTCAAGATCAGTGAGCTCGACCAGGCGCTCCTCTGCGGTCAAGAACAGGCCGAAGGAGTCGTGACTCGTAGGAGTTCGATGCGTTTGTCTCTGGGAAACAACTCGCAGTACACAGCACCGGAATCGCTGCGGTCTGGCGTCTTCGACGAGAAGACCGATGTCTACTCGCTTGGCATGACTATGTTGGAGATGCTGACTGGAAAGTTGTGGAATGCGTTCGGAATTGTAGAAGGTGTTATCGACAGTGATGCCGCTTTTAGAAATGTTCTGGACCCCAGTGCAGGCACTTGGGATGTTGATCTGGCCCGCCAAGTGGCCAACTTGGGGCTGAGCTGTGCCAGTTTAGACAGACACAACCGGCCCGACATGACAGGAAGTGACTGTGGCATTCTACCTGTTTTGGAGCGAGTTGTGCAAAAAGCAAAGCTTGCGGCCAGTTCGGGGCCACGAGCACGAGTTGCCAGTCCAAGCAGGGACAATCGGCCCAACACCAGGACAAGTAATGGTGGCATTCCATCATCAGTTTCGGAGAGGCCCATTCCAAAGGTGAAATTGGAGAAGGATGCCTAACTATCCAACTTATCAAGGTAAGCAACCATGGCCATCATGAGACTTTACATGGCGCTAACGAGGGATAGAGCCCTGGGTACAGAAGTGTGCAGGCTTTGAAGTCAAGAAAGCAAACGTTTTATTGTATTCGTCATTGTGTAAAAAGCGTACATTCAATTACTACCGTCTTCACCCGAATAGAATGCCTGGTCATCATAGCTGTATGTGGTTTAACAGTTAGTCTGCATACAGGGATAATGACCGGGGATTCTATTCGGGTTCTGGAGAGGGTAGTAGATCAAGATGCAAAGTACACCCATGAATTGTTGAAATACAGATCTTAGTTCGAATTCAGATGCACGCAGACGAACAGACTAGGATAATTCTGAATTACTTGGGGTGGGGCCGGTCAGTGCAATGATGATATCTCAAGGGCGTTGCCCGGGGGGGGGAGGAGGGGGGATAAGGAAAGGAAGACTTTGAGAAAAAAAAAGAGTGGAAAAGGAAAAGAGAAGGGGACAAAAATAATGCAAACATTTACTAAATCTCACAAGTATATATAATAATATAGTTAGAATTAAAAAGCTGCTGCAAAAAAGAAAAAAGAAAAAAAGCTGCAGGAAGGAGTGGTGTCCAATGGGTTGCCACAGAGAGATGAGTTGCGACTCGCAGTGCCTGTGCTGTTTGACATGTTACATGCTGCGCCTGCAACAGGCTGGACGGGCCATTTTCAGACCTGTGTCGTTTTCAGCCTGAAAGCCTGAAAACAAGGGCCTACAGGCCCTGTGTCGTTTTAGCCTAAAACAGGGCCTTCCCAGCCTGAAACTCAGGCACCAGACCAGGGTTTTAGCACAGGCCATTTTGGGCCTGTTTTCAAGACAACCCTTGGTTGAGCTTCAACGCCAGGGTCAGGCACGTTTTGGCATTGGCAAGAGCAGCCTCCTGGACGGGCCAGCACTATATAGGACTGGCCCGCCCTGCAGGCTGCAGGTAGTTAGTTCATAGGGACTTCCCAGGCACTTCACGTGCAGTTCAGGAGGCAGGAGGTAGTCTTCAGGATTCGGCAGCAGCACTCTGGAGAAGCGCTGCAGTAGTAGTTGTAGCGTTAGCAGTAGTCTTCAGCGCTGGGCGCTAGTAGGAGCTAGAGTAGTACTGCAGAGAGAGAGAGATTGGGCGGAGGCCAGGGAGACTTACCTGCAGCGCCATAGCTCCAGCTTTGTCTTCGAGGTACCTGCAGCACGGTGCCATCTTCACAGGTTAGTACCTGGCACATGAGAGAGAGAGAGAGAGAGAGAGAGAGAGAGAGAGAGAGAGAGAGAGAGAGAGAGTTCTTCTTGTTGCTCTTCTCAGTCCACCATCTCCCTCTCACCCTGTCGCTACCTGACTTCACTGCATCAGCAGACTACGAGAGAGCGGGCTTGGCGACATTTGGATCCAGACTCGACATTGGGCTTCGGACATTTGACGAGCGATTATCTGGGACTTGTACCAAAGACTTGGTGTTGACGACAGTCGCATCTTCCCCCTCTTCTTCGTCTGATCCCCTCCTCTTCGTCTGTGTATGGTCTGGACCTGGGGCATTCTTCCTGTGTGTAGCACCAGGCCCCTTCACACCTTATGATGAGGATGATGTATGTTTGGTCTGCATTGCGACATTGATTGGGCTAGTCATTGGTATTCTAGCATTCTGCTGCGCTGTCTTGTACTACGTGAGAGAGGTCAGTCCCGGTCAGGTCAGGGCTTATATCTAAGTCTTCCACTGCCCTACAAAGTACCATTTTGTATGTATCAGGATGTACCTTGCTTGTTGAGATTCCACTCACACCGCATTGTCCATTCAGTCCTTTTTATCACATTGCGGATCCTTGGCTATATATATAATATGTAAATCGCCCAACTGGGCATGTAACAGACACAATCATTTTTAAACTCAGGTCAGTCTTCCACCCGCTTCTCGAATGGTAATCGGATAATTTGCTATACACGGCAAATTATCTGAGGGCATACTCAGAGAGTTCCCAGCTCCCGCGGCAAATTATCTGAGGGCATACTCAGAGAGTTCCCAGCTCTCCACCTACCGCATTTTCCGTACCTCGCTGCCTCGAATGAATTTGGACCGGAGGGGCAGGCCAATTTGACTTTCAAGTTAACGGCCACCCCAACCGGAGAGTAGTGGTGGTTTCAAGGTGCAGGAGTCTACTGAGCATCGCAGCATAGGCAGGTGCACTTTGCGGCCTTGCATCCGGTTTCATTTGTTGTGCAATTGGTGGACACAAGGACTTTCTGGACGTGATTGAAAGGGTTTCACCGAGTTCGTGCAACAATTGCAGATACCGGGGCTTGATCCCCAGACATTCCCCAGTCCAGTCCCATTTGCAGCAAGTACCAGTCTGAGAGTGGGACTGCACATCTTGAGGCCCTGGGACATCAGGTAGGCCCAGACCACCAAACGAAACAGTATAAATATAGAGGCAGCGATCAGTCATTCACTCATTCTGAGGCGAACTGCGCAGAAGCGCTGCTTGACTGACTTGTGGGTTGAGTCACAGGCTGTCCGCAGGAGAGCCCGGGTTGAGGAGGGCAAGCGGCCATATGGCCGCTAGGAGGAGGAAGACGACAGTGGCCATAGCCGCCCGCGCGTAGAAGATAGAAGATAGAAGATAGTGTGTGTGCGAGTGCAGACATTCAGGGTAGATCCAAGTGTTGTGTGCATACGTGCGTGTGAGTGTGTCTGATGGTGGATACAGTGTTCGGGTGGGAATTTCAGACTGGCGCTCAGATGCCCACAGCCGCAAGATGTGACGAGTTGTCTTGAGCCGAGCTCCTTGCCGAAGGCCATATCTCTGAGTTTTCTGTGTGGGCGCACTGTGCCATCTCAAGCTTGTTGCTGATTCTGCATTGAGGAAGTTGTTTCGCCATCGGCTATCCATGTTGGACGTGAAATAGGGACAAGTCTGAGTGCATGATTGTAGTCAGATTCATCCAGGTCTGGCCGTAAATGCAGTCAAATGCATTTTGGAAGGTGCTCCTGTGAGTATGGGCCTCGTCCCCGAAACCACTCACCAAATGCACACAAGATGAAAGTGATGGGGGTGGATATTTCCATGTTCTTGGAGGGAGACTTCAGTCTTATTTTGCACATTCCGTGAGTGGTGATCCGAGGCCGTATGCGCTGAGAGACGCAACTCTGTTTGCAGCTGCAGTAGTAGTCCTGGTACTCAGACAATTTGGCATGCGGTGCACTGCTGTACCTGACAAGCCAAAAAAAAAAAAAAAAAAAAAAAAAAAAAAAAAAAAAAAAAAGCTGTACCTGACAAGCAGCTGTGGTGCACAGCTGGGATGCACAGTTGGCCCGCTATGTGACAAAGGCGGCCTAGGCCGCAGCCAATGAGGCCTACCTCGTGGGCCTTTTTTTTTTTTCTTCTTTTTTTCCCATAAGAAAAGAAGTGAAAAAAGGGGTTGTAGACTTGTAGGGTTTGCAAAACCCTCCAGCCCCATATTTGTTTTTTTCGAATCTGACTTGATTTATGATTTAAAAAAAAATGAAAAACGAAAATCGGTTTAAAAAAAAAAGGAAAAAAAAAAAAAGCAGGATTTGTTTTTTCATTTTTTTTTTTCATGAGTGAAAACTGTGATATAAAGTTAGAGTCCTCCTATATTTTTAAATCTTTTTTGGGGGGTGTTTTTTGAGACACTGGGTGTTGAAATAAAAAGAAGATGTAAAAAATTAAATTGAAAAGGGTCAGGCTGGGGTGGGTGTGGTGTGGGTGGATGGGGACCACCACCCACAGGGAGCATGAGCAACACAATTTGTGTTGCCTTATCACATAAATGAGTGATTTCAGTGATACGGCAACACAAATTGTGTTGCTCATGTTGATGGCAAGCAACAAAAAAGAAAGAAAAGAAAACGAGAGAGAGAGAGAGAGAGAGAGAGAGAGAGAGAGAGAGAGAGAGAGAGAGAGAGAGAGAGATTTTCTCCTTCTTTTTTGCTGTTTCTTTTTTTGTTTTTCGTCTTGTTCTTCTTCTTAGTTGGGGCTTTTTGGTTCTTCATCTTCCTTGGGGGGGGTTGTATTTTTTCTAAGACCCCCCTAAAGACGAAATATTAAGGGCCTCCTTCCACCACACTTGACGAACCCTAGAGTCTCAAGTGCGCCCTAATCCCGAAAATGTGATTAACTCACCCTTAGCAGAATCGCCGTTCCATGTGCACTAGAGGAAATACTTGAAACCGACGCCCTAGAGATGGCCGCGGCGGCCCAGACTGGTGGCGGTTCGTTTGGAGGTCGTGCAGTGCACCAGCACGGGTTTGCTGGTTTGAAAAATTGTCCGTCCGACGACGTGGTCGCGGGCCCATCGGGTCCCATACGGGCCCGCGCCGCTTTTTTGAAATTTTGAATTGCGCGGCGCCCGCTTGGGCTGTGGGCGAGTCCTACAAGAGCTCCCGCCGCGCAGCCAAGGCGTGCGATTGAGGAATCGAAGTTCTGGCAGCGTTTGAGGAAGCGGAGTTCAGCAGCGTTCGGGGAAGCGGAGTAGAGTACGCCATAGCGGGTTTTTCAGTGCGAGGAGGGAAATGGACGTGGTGGGCGACATGGCGGCGCGTGAGGGGTTGACGGAGACCGAGAAGTGTTTGCTGGTCACTGTCCTGATGGCGGTATGCGAACACGTGCAAACAACAGGGGAGGCGCGTCTGCGGTTTCTCCGGCGAATGCGGCGGCAGACGGAGGTGGCCATGACGAGGGCGATGGCTGACTCGGGCGCGCCGCCTGTTTCGTGGGACGCGCCTTTTCTCATGGCCAATGCCATCGCCGGCGTGCTTCCGCGGGAGAGTCCACGGTGGTGGGTAAGAAGGAGGACCGGAGGAACGTGGGAGGACCTCAGCATATCAGACGATGCAACGACGGATTACTACCATGAGAAGCCACGAATGACGAAGGAGGTCTTCGAGGACATCGTCGCGGCATGCACACCCTTTCTTCATCGGCAGGTCACGCACTATCGTCAACCACTCCAGCCCGACCATATTGTTGCTTACGCGTTGTATAGATGGGCTTCGGGAGAGACCTTCGACAACGGGACTTGTTCGTTCGGCATCGGGAGAGCAACCGGCATCAAGGCTGTCAGGGATGTGACGGACGCAATCTTGGCGGCGTACCCGGACATTATAGCGATGCCCATCGGTCGACGCCAGCGGCAGGTGAAACGTGCTTTCGGAGCGAAAGGGTTCCCTAACTGCTTCGGGGCCATAGACTACACACATGTATACGTGGACAAGCCCGCGAACGCGCCGGCCGAGGATTACTTCGACCGGAAGCAGCAGTACTCCATCGTCGCGCAGGTCATCGTGGATCTTGACAAGCGTGTGCTAGACGTTTTCTGCGGCTATCCGCGTAGCGTGCATGATGCAAGAGTGTTGTGGAACTCGTCACTGTACAGGCGTGCTACGGCGGGGACTCTATTCAACGCAGAACCTGCGATCTTGCCCGGAGGGGTTCTCACAACCGGCTATCTACTGGGGGACAACGGTTATGGGCCCATGAAATGTATCGTCGTCCCGTACGGTGGGGTGGAGCAGGTGCCGGATGTGGCGTTGTTTGACGCAAAACAGAAGCCGGTCAGAGGAGTGGTGGAAAGGGCTTTTGGCCGTTTGAAAGGAATGTGGAGACTGTTCCTGCGACACCATAAGACGAACATGGATAACATGCCGCAGCAGTTCACTGCTGTTTGCATCCTCCATAACCTGCTGATAAACGCTGGTGTTGACTTCGATGAGAGGCTGCTGATGGAGCGGGATGCAGACGGGAATGAACGGCCGATAGATCTTGGAATGTATCCACCGGCGGCGCCTGTTGCACAGCGAAACGCCGATCCTGAAGCTCTCGCTCTCAGAGATGCTCTCCGCGCGTGCATCTCGCTGTTGCCCCGCTGACAGCCGTGAGAGAGAGAGAGAGAGAGAGAGAGAGAGAGAG